GGAAGCGTATACAATGAAGCACGCAAAAATCTCAGGGCGAAACTACGTGCTAGCCTAAAGAAGGACCGCGAAACCTGGTGGTCTCATCGTGCCTTTGAGATGGAAACTGCCGCTGCCATTGGTAATCATCGTGAGTTATACCGTCTGATACGGGCAACAGGCAGCAGAAGACCTGGTGTTAGCGAGACCATACGCGACGAGAGTGGGCAGATGATCCACAGCCTGTCAAAACGCTTGGAGCGTTGGGCTGAACACTTTGCTATGCAATTTAACCAACCTGCGTTATCGTTTTCTTCTTCGGGCATTGAGCGCCCTTCTCCTTGGGCCGTCTCCTTGGATCCGCCCTCACGCGCAGAAGTCGAATGTGAGATCAAGCTGTTGAAATTGCATAAGGCCGCAGGAGCAGATACGATTCCTCCAGCCCTCTTCAAATTCGGTGGACCTGCTCTAGTAGATGATCTACACGAGTTGCTAGTAAAACTTTGGGAGCAGGAGACAGTCCCGACAGACTGGAACCGCTCCGTCATTGTCCCAATTTTCAAGGGAGGCTCCCGTTTAGAATGTGGCAATCATAGAGGGATCAGTCTGATTTCGATTGCCTCTAAATTGCTTGCCTCTCTCATTCTCCACAGACTGAGTGGCACTCGTGAAAGCCAGATTCGTGAAGAGCAAGCCGGATTTCGTCGAGGTCGGGGCTGCATCGACCACATCTTCACATTGCGTCAAGTGTTGGAGCACCGCCATGTTTATTGGCGACCCACCGTTGTCGTGTTTCTTGACATAAAAGGTGCCTTCGACTCAGTCGATCGATGTGCCCTTTGGGACTGTCTGTTGAGGAAAGGTGTGCCTGATAAATATGTAAATATTATCAAAGCGCTGTACGCACATAGTTCGGGCAGGGTGAGGGTTTATGGCAAACTCTCGCCACCCTTCAGTATCACCAGCGGTGTGAGACAAGGATGCCCGCTGTCACCTTTCCTCTTCAACTTCGCTATTGATGAAGTCATGGAAACAGCGTTCGCTGGACACGACCTAGAAGGTGTGGAGCTACTCCCTGGTGAGCGACTTCTTGACTTGGAGTATGCAGACGATATTGCCCTAATCTGTGACAGCTCCCAAACATGCCAAACAGCACTGAACCGATTAGCACTGGCTGTCAATCGTTTTGGGCTATGCTTTGCTCCATCGAAATGCAAAGTACTTCTCCAAGATTGGCAGGGACCCAACCCTGCGCTAACGCTTGGTGGTGATCTGCTAGAAGTCGTTCAGGAATTCAAGTACCTGGGCAGCTATATTAGCACCCGTGGGATTGAAGATGAGGTTACGAACCGTATAGCAAAAGCTCGAGGTGCTTTTGCCAATCTCCGCCACCTGTGGCGCAGACGCGACATTACTCTCGCCCTGAAGGGCAGAGTTTACAACGCAGCCGTCCGTTCAACTCTCCTATATGGCTGTGAAACCTGGCCCATCAGGTCGACAGACATGAAGAGACTCGTCACATTCGATCATCGCTGCCTTCGCAGCTTAGCTCATGTCTGGTGGGAACACCGCGTGAGCAATGAGCGTGTTCGGCGTCGCGTATTTGGTACAGGAAGAGCGAGTGAACCGCTCAGCACGATTATATCACGCACCAGGCTCCGATGGCTGGGCCACGTGTTGCGCATGCCAGCACACCGACTCCCACGACGTGCTTTGTTTACGCGTTGTGGGTGCGGTTGGAAGAGGAGGAGGGGAGGCCAAGTGATGACTTGGTCGAGAGAAATGAAAACCCTCACTTCGAAGTTGGCGTCGGTTGGTGCATCCCGACTGCCTGGTTGGGGTCCTAAGGACGGTGAACACGTTTGGTTGGACACACTTGCTGATATGGCTAGGTGCCGGCCCCAATGGCGTTTGTGTTGTGAGTTCCTTTGTCCATCCCCCTCCTGTTTAGCATCCCCCTCCAATCACGATCTCAATCGTTTGGCATAATATGACTTTCTTTTACGGCAGCCAGCTGTTAGCTCTCCGGAACGATGTCCATCCGTTACTGGGGACTCAGCGGGCGTGCCACTGTTTGTTGTTGTTGTTGTTGTTGTTTTTTCTTCTTTTCTTGCCTTTTGTATTGCGGCACAATAGCTGAGGTGTTTTCCACCTCCAGCTAACGTGTAATGATGATGATGATGATGATGAGGTAGACGTTGAGTACGTCATCCTTATTCATCGCGGGTTGGCTACACCGACTCACACTTAAACTAGGTCTTCCTAACCTGGATACAAAATATTTCACTTTATTTGATTTGCTCACTTCTGCTATTCTGCTGCATATTCCATGTCACCGTGGATGTACGGCAGCGCAGCATCAGTTCAAGTGGCTGATCTACTACTGTTCATGATAATGATGATGATGATGATGATGATGATGATGATGATGATGATGATGATGATGACGACGATGATGATGATGGTGATGATGATGATGATGATGATGATGATGATGATGCTGATGATGCTGATGATGCTGATGTTGATGATGATGATGATGATGATGATGATGATTGAGCATGCTGAGATGATGACGACGACGATGAGGATGATGATGCTTGCTGGTTAGAAGCAGCAAGAAGAGATATCTCTGTGTAGCTGCATCTAATATCACTCAGGTACAAAGACCCGTTATATTGGTGTGTGCTCGATACATTTTATATCAAAAATGTATTTGTCCAAGCATTTCTCAATTTTCGACACCGAATTTGCCTCAGCTACGTGCTGCGGCAGATTCTTCCATACATTCACCACTCTCCGTTCGAAACAGAGTTGGTGGACGACCCGCTTCAAATCCGGTACTACATACTTGTACTAGTATCATAGTGTGCTGCTTGGTATGCACAGACGAATCAGCGGCCTCAACATGGGGTATTCACCGAGATGTAATATTCGGTGCGTCATTATGAGGTCAACACATCACCTGTCGGCTTCAGGCGTCGCTTCACGGATGCGGAGATCCTCTTGTGAGTTGTTTTTGCCGCGGTTGCAGGCTGCTTTTTGAACTCGGCGTTTGCCTTTTTTCGCGCTGTGGCGGACATTTCGTTGTGTCTTGTACGTTTCATAATCCTCGGCAGAGCCTGATTGCACGAATGTATTCGATAGCCGGTGTCTCTCTCGAGCAAGTTTGCAAGGAGTATGCTCCTTGTCAAACCAATGTGGCTCGACTGGTCCAGCCTTCCGATATTTGAGGGACGCATAATACTTTTATTATAGGTCAACCGGCTTCAGCTGATCAATCCAGTGCGAGCGACCAGTCCGTCAAGCTTGCGGCTCGGGTGCGGCCATTAAAGTCCGCCTTCCAGTAGCTAAAGGTCGGCTCCAGCGGAGGAGTAAACGGTAGTTGCAGCTCTAAGCTCGCCATGACCATCGGCTGGTCCCTCACTACCAAGGGCTCCAAGACCTGGATGTCATGCACATGTTGCTCACAGCTGGTCAGCAACACTTCCAGGCACGATGGAGTCGAGCGCGCGATAATGCGCGTCGGCTGATTGATGCGCTGTGTAGCCCAAGTTTCAAACATCATCTCTGTAAACTTCGTCTCGACTTCACAGTGGCCTGGGAGAAGCTCTACCTCGGGCCACCGTATTCGAGGAAGGCTGCAATTCCCATGAGCAAGAATTGCGGACGACCCATGTGGTTGCGCACATGATGCCACCAGTCCAAGTTTCGGCTCAGTGGAGTGCGATACACAACACCCACGGGGAGTTCGCCACCTCCCAGGTGGTTTGAACACCATATCTGCTCACACAGGCCATCACCGCCACTGTAGATGCTCGCGAATCTCCCGCACAAGGAAGACCCTATGTATAGCAGCACGCCACCGCGGTCATTTGATAGCCTATCATACCGGAAGCAAGCATCTCCTCTGCTTTCGACTTCTTGCACGATTATCTCTGAACGTAACCAAGTTTCAGCTTGACCCAATACCTCTGGTTGTCGAGAGGTAACAAAGTGGAAAACGTCGTCGCATTTGTTCATTAGACTACAAACATTCGTAAAGGCTACACGCAAGCCGCGGTAGGAACTGTCAGGCGACGTGAAGAATTAGCGATCTGTTCATCCGGATTCAGAGGGGAACCCGGTTACCCACTCGAAAATTTACCATGCGAAGATTTGTTTCCCTGCCTTCAGTTTTCCGCTTTACTTCGATCACGGCAGACTTGCCGCTGCTGACAATGATCATGATGCTTATTCCACATCGATTTGGCATATTTATTTTCCTTCAAATTTTATGTTATTTGATTTGATATTCCCGATGTGGCTGCGCTTGATGTCAATGTTGACAAAGTGCCTACCTGTCTAACGCCATCCACTTCGACTACTGGCTGGAGGAGACTGAATCGTTGCCTGGGGGTGTGGTGTACGGTCCTCTTGGCCGTGCTGAACTCAAAGTGTGGTTCTATCCAGTGTGGTGCTGACTACGGCCCAGCTACCTCCTTGTGCACGTCTGCTACGCATGATTCCCTCTTTAGATAAACAGGTAAGCTGCTGCTGTGCATGTTGAAAGAGTATATGCCTGACTCCTTTGATGAAACGTAGCTCCCATCCGCATGCTTCCCGCTTATGTTTTCGGGTTTACACCGGATGTGGGGTGTGTGCGTGGTGCAGCGCATGCCACCTATAGTCCCTGATTAGGTATATGCGTCCTGTGACTGTCTTATGGGAGCCACAGTGATAGGCGAATCTGGAACTGGATGCCGCCAATCATTGCTACCCCATTCATCCCACTTCGGAATTCCCATATCAACCGAAATCGTCGAGTACAAAGAACAAAGCATTGCGCGAACATTGCTCATCTTATTGGCTAGGTGATTTGATATTTATTTCTTGCATTTTCATACTCTTTACTTTTGCTCCACATTGCTTATAACTGCGATTTGCGGATCATCGATGGCCGTTAATCTACATTACTTGCTTATCATCATGCTTACTGATTGCACTTCCACCACCCTGTTGTCCACCATGCCATTTTCCAGGACGGCGAACATTTGGAAGACCATAATGTTGAAGCCGTTGACATGTTGCTCAAACTACCCGGTATTTCTTGGAAGAACTATCACCGGATCATAACGCACGTGTCCTCATTGTTCGAACTGGCCCAGCTCAGTTTGGAACAACTGACAGCGATATTGGACAGCCTGTAAGTCACCCTGTCAGATCTCTCAAAGTGCCAACGCAATTATTCCTGTTTTTTTGGCTAATCGTTCACTCATTTACAGCTATGTCAGCCGCTGGCCAAGTGGTCTGCACGTTTGGTTTGCAACCATAAGGTCACCGGTTCGAATCCGCGTAGGGGTGGGCTTCCTCGCGGTATACTCAGCCCGCGCGCGGCTGATGGTGGTCGCGCGGCAGCGAAGCGCCGTTACGGTGTACAGCTGACACATTATTTTATTATTACATTTACAACTATACCTAAGCAAAATGTCTGCTCAGGGCTTCCTTTTTGTCTCAATTCCCCAAATTACTTACTTTTATGACAGCCTCCATCACCGACGGCACCTCTGCCTTGTTCAGTTTTTCAGTCGATACCATGGCTTTTATATCAATTTCACATATTGGGTGTTGTCTGCTCGAAACACTGCACTCCTCTATGCCTGTTGTGGCTACTTGCTGAAATCAACTAATTTTGGGTCCGGCCATGGAGTACATTGTTCTCGGACAGGCAAAACCAAATATTCATCTGCTTTATGAGTTGAGGTCCCAGTGATCACAGTGATCAAGGGTCACTTCCATGCGAATGGCGGTCCACATTGAGACTTCGCGTCGCAATCCATTCACACAACGAGCGCTTGAAAAAGTCTCCTCCAATCAATAACTTAACATCTAATTTTTCCTTTACCTATTTCATTCATCGGCTGCTTCTTTTGATCTCCTATGGTAGCGATGCTTTTGCCATCTAACATCGGACCAACATGTTCTCCTCATTAAATCTCATGTTGTCTTTATAATTTATGTTCTAGGGATTGTGCGACGAAGTTGTACAATTTTCTTCACTCCTCTTGCGATGTTTTGCGGAAGAGAGAGACGACATCGGCGGAACTTGAGGACGGCTCGAGGTTAACCGCTGGAATGAAACGACCAAAGGCTGCAAGTACTCGCGGACCTCGATTTGCCTTAGCTGGCCGCTTAAAAGTTCGCTCCGCCTGCGGTACAAGCCGCTCAACATGACAGTGCTGCATGTGTTTCCAGAATCAGCATTTGTATGCAATCCACTTCAGCCTCAGATTTTCCAACTATCCTTCAGCTTTTGCTTTCCCTCCAATTATCTTTTGACCAACCACTCTGGCTTCTTTCACCATATTTTTAATAAAACGGAACTACTGTCTATTGAAAAGTACTCTGAAGTTTTGTATTTCAGCCCTATCGGTATGGCTGCACATACCTCGCTTCCTCGGCGGTCACCTGTGAAGTGAGTATCAGAACGTTGTGCTTATCACAAATGTTGTGATCAATCGACCGAATCAAAAATTCTTTTCTATGTGTTCGTGGAATTAAATCAGCCCAAACTAGCATGCTATTTTGTCAGTCCTTTGTTTTATTTTGTTAGGAAGCATATTGTTTAACTTTGATGGGAGCGGCATTGGACACTGTTTTCGCTCCGTCTCCCACCTACCTGTTTAACCAAGCTGACTGCTAAGACACCACAAATGTCGGAAATCACATCATCCACATCACTGAAGTGTGGTGGCGCTTTCCACTTCCAAACTCGTTGAACGATATGCGCTTTGCTGTCGCGCACTACAAATGTTGTTCAATCAGCAAATACTTTTCTAACATGCAACTGTTTTCTCACGCTTGATGATGGTAGATGCCTTTCATACTCTGTCTGATCCATTTTCTAATAACTTTATTAGGACACACACGGATTTGCTTAACTTAGATGGAACACCAGATATCTGATTTTTCTTTTGCCTCCAAACTACCTTGCAGTCCACAATCCTTGAAAGCTGACCCGAGCAAGCCTTTCGGAGTGTGTTGTAGATTCGCACTAATATAAAGCCCACTAGATCACTCAGATCCCACGACACGTGCCATGTACGGAAAACCATCATTATATGGCCTGCGTAAAGTTCACAAGGAAGGCGCCCTGATGCACCCAATCTTGGACATGGTGGGTTCTCCTCAGCATTTGTTGGCCAAATGGATGGTGGCGAAGCTGCAGCCGTTAGGGAATTTGGTTTGACCTTATTGCGTGAGAGACACCTTCGAATTCATTGAGGGGATATCCGAAAGCAACCTTGTTAACAAAAAGATAATATCATTTGATGCGCAGTCGCTGTTCACAAACATTCCATTGCTCGCACCCGTGGATTACGGATGCGAGCTTGCTCGGCAACTGCCCATATGCGCAACTTTTTCGGAGAATTTGCTACAGGAGATGCTACTTCGTTGCACGTTGAATGTTCTGTTCCCCTTCAATGGTGAAATGTACCTTCAGTTGCTCATTTGTCCGCCGAGCGGGGAAATTTGTTTGCAAACGTTTCACCGCCATACTTGACGGCATCATTAGTGCGTCGAGATGTGCAGTGTAATCTCGCTGATTGAATTGTCGATCCGTGATCGGCGTGTAGGTGACTTTTCGAAAGTGATGGCATCCGGTTTACGAAGGAAATGGAGAAGAAAAACCAACTGTCTTTCCTGGATGTATTAGTAATCAGAACCATGGAAGGGAGGCTGCAAACATCAGTTTACAGAACATGGACACATATGGACCAAATTCTGAATTTTAACAGTAACCATCCGAAATGCCACGAAGTAAGCTGTGTGCGGACACTATTTAGTAGAGTGCAAACACACTACAGTACCGCGGAGGCAAAGCGACAAGAAGAGAGGCATCTATTTATATGTTTCGAACTCAACGGAAATCTGCGATGCTTCATCCGAAGGTATCTGAACCACAACAAACCAAACAGACAGTCTACACCAACGACGGAGAGACGCGTTGTCGCTAGTCTCAGCACACGTGGATGAAAAAGAGCACAGCTTTGATTGGGCCAAAACAGAAGTCCTGGCACGAGGTGAAACAAGAAGAGCAAGGGAGTTCCTGGAAGCGTGGTTCTCAACAAAAGACTCGATCAACATGCATATCGAGATTGACCCAGTTTACCAACCCCTCCGACGGAGGGAACTTAGAGAAATTATGAGACGCCGCTTGAATAGAAACAACCCGAGCGACGACCTCCGCCACGGAGAAATGGGTAGAGATCACGGGACACAGATCGAAGCCGTCACTTTCGAAGTCACCTGCACGCCGATCGCGGATCGACAATTCAATCAGCGAGATTACACTGCACATCTCAACGCACTAATGATGCCGCCTCGCATGGCGGTGAGACGTTTGCAAACAAATGAACAACAGAATTATCAACTCAAATTGCCAGTTTTCCGAAACAGGTAAAATGTACCGTCAGATTGACGGAGTGACCATGGGATCTCCTTTAGGGCCACTTCTGGCTGATATTTTCATGGCGAAATTGGAACGTGGGTCACTTACAACGCACATCGGTAGAACCGAAATGTACGTGCGGTATGTTGACGACACCTTCATACTTTGCAAATCCGAAAAGCATGCGGAACGGTTGCCGAAAGCTTTCAATGACGCACACGAAAATCTCCAATTCACCTGTAAACACGAATTCGAAAACCGGTTACCTTTTCTGGATGTTGGAGTTATCCGTAACTCGGACGGATCATGCAGCAGAAATGTACACAGAAAGCACACATGGACTGGGCAGTACACTAACTTCCACAGTGCAGTACTTCTACTACATAAGAGGGGTTTAATCAGATCTCTCGCCTCCAGTGCACGCATTATTTTGTACACCGGATACTGTCAACGAAGAATCAGCGACGCCCTTAGGGAAAATGGTTATCCTGATAAATTTATCATGAAGCATTTGAAGGAACGCAATCGGAAGCCACCTAGGAGCATTGCTCTTAAGAAAGAGCTTTTCATATACCATTTAAGCACGATTCTGCAGCTACTATGTTATCCCGACGCCTGAAAGATGTTGTTGAGAAAACTTATTTCGCGGCTCGCCTGAGAATCGTTTTTCACAACAGGCCGTTGTTTACAAAATCCTTGAAAGATAGACTGCCGTCGTTGACCCGTTCAGTGATCGTTTATCAGTACTCGTGCGTCTGTAGTGCACGATACGTGGGTCGCATTACGAGGCGCCTATTTCAGAGGATTCGTGAGCACGTTCCGGCATGGTTTTACAAAGGCGAAATGAGGTCCTCAGACAGCTCAATCATGTTGCACCTCCTTGAATGTGGTCATAAAGCTTCCGAGAATGACTTCAAAGTCATTTACTTGCTGCCTGAACAGTTCTTTCAAGGATTCCGCAAACACTTCTTATCCATCGCCGAGGCTATCTACATTCACCATCTGAAGCTGGAATTATATGTACAACAACGATTCATACGGCCGATACTACTACCTTGGCCGACGAACACTGTTACTTAGTTATTTGGTTATCTTACCTACTTACTTACTTCGGACTAGTGACCTTTGTGTGTGCATGTTTATTTAGTTTACTTGGTTTACCATCTCTATCCCTGTCTCGATTTTGATCATTCAAACAATCCAGAAGTCAATCCCAGCCCGCGTTGACAGTTTCCCGTAATCAGTGTTAAGTAAACGTTTGGGTCCGATGAGAGTTTACCGAAATGAATTCTTTACCCTGAACTGATTTCTGATACTTTTTCATATTAATGAAATGGGAATATTTGCTTTGCTGAAGACCAGCGTTGCCGTAATTCATTGAAAACCATCATTCGCAAAATACCTTGGCAATCAATATGCCTTCCTTCCGGCTATACTTATGTGACGGCGATTTCTTGAAGTCCTTTGACGCGCATCATTATCACCATTTTTCGCAGACTGCCTGAAGATATCACCGGACCAGCGTTGTTTGTTTGGCCAAAAGGTGACGTTATACCACGGCGGGAGCTACAGTTTTGACTGCTGTACATTTCCTCTTTCAACGAATTACTGACACACACACTTTCGACGATATTAAAAAAGCCTATTGTTTTACTTATCTGCTTTTTTCCACTACTGGTGTCATCATCATCGTTAAGCGTGAGGTTTTGTGATCGTTATGTGTTTTCGCGTACGTCGAGCACTCATGATTCCCTACATAGATAGGCAGGAATGCTGCTGCTGTGCATGTTGAAGGAGTGTGGGCCGGTTCTGTTGATGAGACGTGGCTCCCATCCACATGTCTCCCGGTCTTATTCCTTCAGGTTTACACTAGATATGGGGGTGTGGATGGTGCATCGCAAGTCATCCATGGTCCCTCTGCAGGTGCAGGCGTCTTATGGGACCCACAGTGACAGGCAAATCCAGAACCGGATGTTGCCAACCTTGTGTTTCCGCGCACGCTGGCAGCCTGCTTCGCTCTGTCAGAAATGAAGTGAAAAATCTACAAAAAAAACGGAATAAAAAGCCTCCTACCAGGTGGCGGGTTGATCTCCGGATGAAAAACTTGACAATTATGAGCATATCCAATATTTTTTGCTTCTGGGAAAAACGAAAGACCTCAAAGGCATAACCAAATGTCAGGAGTACGCGCAGCTTATAGTTATTATGCTGCATAGGACTTGGCTTATTATCGGTGTTGAAGACGCCATTGTGTGTCAGTTCGCGGTTTTATTTGCCATCTTACCTACTGCTCGTGCGCTTTACGAAACAGTAGCGGTGGCGTGATCACCTTTATTAACGTTTCTTGATACCTATCGGTGAATGCCTCTTTTGATACTCGTCACAGCGTATCGACTATTTGGTCGTAAAGTGTGTGATTTGACAGCGCTCAATTTTTCTAGCCAGTCTTTACACAATCCTTAGCTTCCAGAACTCAGAAACACATAAATTTTCCGAAGGGTTTACGGCTGCCGTCATTAATCAAACCGATCAGTCCTTGTACATATTCACTGATTATTCCAATAGATTCAACATCACATATCTTACTTCTCTCAGACTACAGTGTTAACAGCAAATGTGGACTTAGTACTTGCTAGTGATCAGAAGAAATTTTCGGTTTGCAATCAGGTATCGCTTGGCAACTCCCATTATTCTTTACTCAAGCTATTTGCCTTTGTCTACAGTACAACAAACCGTAAGGACCGTAGCTTGAAAGGGAGGCAAACCCTTCCTCCCAACCTACTGCAGCTGAGGGAAATGTTTCCCTCCACCGGTTTTAAATTGTTTTTCATTACAGATACATCAACATATAATGACCGAATGACAGTTTATCTGAATTTCTGTTATGATCTCAGCCATTTGTTAGAAACCATTTCCATCTGCGCTGACAGATATTCATCACAGA